AAATGGAAAGTGAACGCAAAATGATGGTTGATAAATGGAAGATGGATGGCTGAATGGATGGCTGAATGGGTGAGTGATTACATCTGTTTTTTTGTTCCTACAGTAGCATGCCTGCATTATCATTTCTTTTTAGGTAAGATTTGACCGTATCTTATCTTAACCAAACTTAGAAAAGCTCCAGTGCTCACTACATCCAATGAAAAGACTCCCAGTGATGTCAATGGCTTCTGATTCACCTCCCTGTGAAACCCCGGTACACTTGTATTTAGCTCATATTTACGTGGAGATGTTTTTAGATTCATTTCTTCCCATTTAAGAAACTAAGAATAACCATGGTTCAAGACAAGCTTCCGCTGTTTCTGTTTTAAGGACCGCTTTCCCAACTCTGAGGCTGCAAAGCACAGAAATGCACCAATCCATCCAACTAACCAATGGAAGGGACCAACATTGGTCGAGACCTTTGTGGCACTGCACTGCCATGAGAGGACCTTCGCCCTGCATGCTCCGCCCTTTCAGGCCGTCCTGCAGATGATGGATTACCTAAAAGCTAAAAAACAACAACAGAAAAAACAGGTTGGTAAGTTACATGGGCGGTATTGTTATGGCTAGACGGGTGTACATTAATCAGGTCAATCACGCTTGGAAGCATAAGCTCTAAAGGCAACTAAACTTAGCTTTTAACTGAAAGGTTAGCTGAAGAGTAACTGTTGCCTAACAAACCTGCAAAAGAAAAAATGGTTCCCTGACTTATGGCACAGTTTTGTAAACAGCAGTCACACATCAGAACAAAAAGAAAAGAAAAGAATTGTTTTGGAAACATTCTTTTGCCTTTGTTGTTGCTGCTAAAATGAGGTTAAGACCTCCCGAAGAGAAGTACAACCAGTCATTTGAGCTGTGGAGATCAGAACAGCACTGAAAAGTTAAGCCTGTCCTGTTTTCAGCTACGTGGTTTTGTCCAGTTTGCAGCACGTGAACAAGTGTACGTTCTTCTGTCTTTGCAAAAACGGCTTTTCTACAACGGCCTTCTGTTGTTAAAGCCTTTTAGAAGGTCATTGAAACGTGCAGAACGCAGACACACTTCATCTCACATCACAGCTGTCTCTCTCTGTTCACTACTTTGCAGAACATGTTGCTATTTTAACCACTAAACAGTACTATTTTCATAGTCTCCAGGGTTTATCATGCAGCAATTGAGATTAATACAGCTTGGGCACCAATTTTAATGGGAGAAACTGTAAAGAATCATTTCAGAATAAACTGCTAGACTAGAAGAGCAGGCAGCTGATTTCTACCCTTACATCATACACATCAGATTTCGGATTTCCACTCTGGACCGTTGCAGACCGAGAGAGTAAAGCGCTTGCTTTGGTCTTGTGGGGAGCAGGTAGGCCTGTGGACGCATCTATCAAAGCGTGAAGCCTCTACTATAAATTAATGGACAGAAACGCAAATAGGCAAGATCACACACAGGCATCCTTGAAAGTTATGGATCTGCCCTGGCCTCCCGCTTTGGAAGAAGCTGTTTGCCTGCATTCTCACGCAGAGATGCAGTCTGCAACTTCAAAGGCAAGAAGAGATGGTCTAAAAAGGAAGGTAAAGTAGTGACAGCGCAGAGAGAAGGTAGAAAATGGAAATAGGATGAACCTGTGACTCCATAAATCTGGGTCACTGTCACACTGGGGAGAAATTGCTTGATTCTTGTCCAGAGATGCTTCATGATGAAGAGCATATCCTGAAAATTCTGAGAGTGAGATGAATAAAAAAAAATACAATGAAATGGAATCCTCAAGACAAACATTAAAAATAATAATTACTGATGAAGTATTTTTCCAGCTAAAATACAGCTTTTTTTAAAGCAACATTTAGATGGGCAAAGTAAAGATAAACAATCTTTTGGAAAATTATAGTTCAGCTAACCCTTAATTAAAATTTAGATTCAGTTGTCCTTTAATAAAAGCAGCCATTATTGTAATTTGCTCTGTGGGAAAATCATTGTAAAGTAAATTAAATTGATTTCAGCGTGACACAAAAGAGGACTGTAAAGCAAAATGCAGAATAATAAAAAAAAAATGAATGGGGGGGGGGGGGGGAAAAATGCACCATAGGCCCAAAAGATGGACTCTAAAAATTAATTTAGGAAAAAAGAAAGATAAAAAAAGAACAAGAGAAAGAAAACAGACTGATTTGGCAAGCAGATGTTAGAAGGAAGATTTAATTCACACACCAGAGAGTCTTCTGCATCTCTGTGGGATGACTTTGCAAGTGGACCAGCTGCCCTAGAGTCAGCCATTTTTAAGTCGGTCTTCCAGCCTCCCTGAACATCTTCATTAGACAAATTATCTGTTCTAATACACTTCTGAGTCTCGTACTTTTTCTCGTAACTGGGCTTGACCTGTTCGCTCTTGGGCTCTATAAAGGAAGGACCCAAGTCACCAAAATCTTCTTCGATGCTGGTTTGTCTGGTTAAGGTTTTCCTGCGAGCAAGCAACGGCCTCATGCTTCTCCTGCAGGAACAGTTAGCAGTCTCTGCACAACAGCTAGATGCAACATTGGCAGAAACTGAATCACAAGTGTATCTGAAATTAAAACGAGATTCTTCTTCTTCACTTCCGCAGTCTAGTCCACTGTCTGGGCTTCTTGATAAGGATCGGCTATATTTACATCCTTTGTCGTCCGAAGCCAAATCCTCCACGCCTGAAATTCTGTGCTTGGCTGGATACCAGAAGTTGTACTGCTGGTCTTGATTGTAGGGCCGAGGTGCTCTAGCGTTTCTAGCTATTGTGGGACTCTTTTTATAGGGAATACCTAAACCCTGCTTGTACAGCAGTTCAGAGTATTCACCATCTTCTTCAGCTACTTCTGGAATACTGAAAAGCTTTTTACTGTGATGTACTTGCTGTGAAAAGTCAGGCTGTTCCAAAAAAGTGGCTTCAGTGGTCTTATTCTTATCGCACTCCTTAAGATTATGTAATGTTAAAAACCAGGCAGGGAACAAATAGTGTGTGACAAAAATAAAATGGGAGGGAAAAGGGAGAAGAAAAGAAAAATAAAGACAGAATTAGTTTTAGAGCAATGGCAAACATAAGACATGCAGCTTATTTAGTGAAAAGCATGTCATGCTTTGAATGAGAATCTGTGAAAATAAAGACATGATTAAGAAGTTGCTGGGTGTCAGATATAACATGAGAGGTCAGTACAAACAACTGGGTGATGCTCTAGTAAGAATAAACCCATGCATTCAAAACAAAGCAACAAAAGCTGCATACAGGTTCCAGCATGGTGAATGAGAATGGCATTAAACCACAGCACTAATGCTTAGTATGCTCCTTGCCCCATGACTAAGTATGATTTTAGTTTGTAACGACAAACCTTATCTGAGAATGAAAATTCTGTGTTAGCAAGCTTCCTTGCTTTGCACTTGTTAAAGCATCCTACATGAATAACAAAGTACTCAAAGATCTCCTGCCAGAGGAGAGCTGTTCTGCAAACTAGGAGCTCTAGTTTCCTTCACAAAATTGTAAAAGCTGCACCATTTTTAAAGCTTGACTTCCACACAAAGAACCCTGAGAAGAAGCAGGCTGCTTTCTGGTATCACTCGGTCTGCACTCTCATCATAATCTTGTACCCGCTTGATAAAACCAGTTTTTGAAAGTCAACCTATTAATACAAGTAAAAGTCTCTATTTACACCAGAAGTAAGGAAAAGCTCTCACAGCCTGGATCAAATAAGCATTCTGAACATGATAGATTTATTTTTTCATTTTTGTATTATAATTACACAAAACATCAGTTGGTGTAACACAAGAATACTATGCAGTATCTTTGCTGGACTCTGAGAAGAGAGGAGAATAATGATGCAAGAGGGGCTGCTTTTTATTTAACAGGTTTATAGATTCTGTGTGATGGAGATCACCGCTCCCTGTGCTTTATCCAATGCTCACATCACCTAGGTCTCTGAAGACAACAGCACCCAGATATAACGATTCGATCATCTTGGAGACTTCAGCAATTCCTCTCTCTCTGAGCATGTTGGACTTCACTGGCTTTGGGATGTCTTCCCCTTCAGGCATTAGGAACTATGTTATTTGGTGACTACATTTGTTTGTCAGCCTTCGTTTTAGGGATCCACTGGAGGGAATAATAACCTTCCAATAAAGCAAGTAACGTATCTGCACGTGAAACATTTTCCTGTTACTTGAAGGTGTCTAACTTGGCAGAGCAATACTGAATGGCAGCTAAGTTCAATCACAGCTGAAAGTGCATGGATGGCATACTTTCAGATGCAAATGGAACAGGTATCTGAAGGATTACATTCTGGAATTGTCAATACATCTGTGTTTCATTTTTTTGGTTAATTACCGATGTTGCAAAGTGAAACTGGGTCTAGTAAAAGAGAGGGGAACTACGAAGCACTTTGGGATCAGAACCTGCCCTGAATTTTACATCAGCGCACTTATCAGCATGGTGGGCAATATTCTCCAAATCATAAACATACACCCGTGAGTCCTTCCTCAGGAAGCACTCACATTCTGAATCACACTTCTGCAGGATGAGTGAACCAACCGTACCCTCCACACACGCTACATCCACAGACGTATGCCTGCAGACTTTTAATAGGTCTAAAATGATTTACTACACCAGTTAAGGGTCTGGACCCTTGCATTTAGATTTCAACATTGACAATACTAATGTGAAACCAAGAAGTCAATATATTTTCTGACGCATAAAGAACACAAACAGTCTAGGGATAATTCACTGTTTTCCCAGAGGAAAGGGACAGAAGCAGTACACAGAGGGATTTCAGTTTCAAGCTTTATGTTAAAAAGAAGAATTGAAATATTGATTACTTTTTCTTTTGAAATGGTTAAAAAGAACTGAATTATTATTTCTTCTTTTGAAAAAGTACCTGTCTCATTCTAGATGGTATGAAAATAAAAGGTCTGAATTTAGAGTACATGGAACTTGTAACAATGGTCAAAAGTCTTCTACGCATGAAAAAAACAGTATGGGTTTTTAGTTACATAACAGCATGTTGGCGGAAAAATCCCACCTGCAGGCTTCCTTATCATTGAAGTTATCCAACTTGCTAAGAAAATGCAATTTAGTGTAATTGCTAGACATATAAAAAGCAGATACAATTTACACATACAAACATACTATGGAAAATATAAACTCTGTGTTAGGTAAGTTTAACATCTTAAGTATACTTTAACTGTAATAATACAATTGTCTTTCACGCTGAATATTCCTATGTAGTGTTAAAACAGTATTTCTGATAGATATTTCCTATTGTCTCTGGTGATTCCTTAATAAACAGTGCACAAGGATTTCTAAAAACACATTTATCAGACAAAACTCACCCAAATCTCTTTCTTATAAGCATGCTTTAGAGCCTGAAGAAGAGATGGCATTGGTGGGGAAAAGGGGAAGAATTCCTCAGGCATGAAAAGCTTTTTTTTCCTTTTCCTACATGAACATATGTTTAGACAAACCTCCCTCTCCGGAAACAACTCATTGTCTAGGTAGTACATCCAGTATTTTGTTGTATAAACATGCAAAAGACCCTAGATACACAAAGTGCAACTTCCACAATTACATACAGGAATACAGTCAACTAGCTAAAACATTAGCTATCAAATAATGAAAAAAAAATGTAATCAAAGTATTAAAGGTGGCCTTGACATCGTAAACATTGCGCGCTCCAGATTTAGAGCTGCACCACAGTGTGTGTTTTAGCGGTTTGTAAAATCCATAATTGACTTCAAGAACGCCTTGAAGGAAGAATAAGAAATACGGATATACTCTTAACGTTTCTCTGCTATCACTCTTACCTTGAGTGCATTGTGAGAAGTCACACTGACTCTTCTTCTTCCTCCATCCTCCAGCTGCATCTCAGAGTACAGCTCTTCCTCATCTTCTTCCATAATATCAGACAAGTCAGAACCTCTGCTGCTCTCTGTATGGTACTCTTCACCATGGCAATAGTGAGGCTAAGAGTGAGGATGAAAGAAAAAATCTTGACTGACTGTAAAGCTGAAAATCTTGGCATATCGCCAATGAGGACTAGACTATTTCCTAAGTTTGAATATTGTATTAATGCCATATATAAATTACATCATGCTGCTTGCTACTCTATTCTAGTGGACAGATCATGTACGAAATTTATTTGCCCAGTTATGCTTCCAACTCAAGAAATCCAAACTTAATGCCATAGGTGATCCAAAAAAGGGATGTGAACATTCACAGCACCAAATCTCGCTTCAGTCTTGACTAAACTCCTTTGATCTAAAGAGGTCCTTCATGCATCAGTGGGCTTGCTGACCAAATTGTAAAAGCCCTAGGATAAGCCACATATCATCTGTTCTTCACAGCTCTTTGTTTCATCACGTTATAATTCACAAGTGATCAGCACTTAACTCTTGCAGTATGCTGCCATCACTGTATATGGCTAGCTGATGGGGTTCAAAATTTTAATTCTCTTAAACATTGTAGGAACGGACTGCATAAAACCTTAATGGCCTTTTAAAAGTAGTTCAAATATTTAAAGCTCCTCTATGTTTTCAGTTAGCTGGAAAATAAGGAGGAAAAAGTCTGTCCTACTGAACTGCTGCTGCTAAATAAGAGTAGCCTCTACTAAACTCCTGTTTAGCCAGAACGTGCATCTAATAAACCAGACCACACACCAGACCACAAATCAAGGAGATTTGTATGTCCAAGGATACATTTTCAAGTGGAGGTATCTGACTGTCAGATTGCAGCAGAATATTTGAAGAAACAGGCAGTGAAATACTAGAATGCCAGCAATTACTACATTCTTTCCCCCAACAATATTAATGAATAAGTAATTTCTGTGGTACCAGATCAATTTCCATATCTACATAACGCGCTGCCAGCAATCAATCCCAGCAATGAAAGGAAATATCTACAGCAAGCATCTTCTCCAAAGCGAAGAAGCATTCACTCTCCAAATAAGAGAGAAAATTTCTTCTCTTTTAATCCTTTGAAGGTAATTCTCCAGATAAAAAGACTAGAGGACGCAGCATTTAGTAGTAATTCCCAGTGCCTTCTGCAGGCCAAGCCCAGAAATGTTTCAGATCCCTCAGATGCATCATATTAGGATGGTCTTAGAAAAAAAGCCACTGTAGGTATATAATTGTTTTTGGTTTCTTTATGAAATCGGAAGATCACACTATGCTCATTTTCACAACACTGGCTCTTACACTAAATGTAGTTATTTCATCAGTTCCATCCCAGGAGAATCTTGGTTCTGATCATCAGTGAAAATCACTCCTTTGCTCCCGTTCTCAGCTACTGTCCAAATAGACTTGGACAACGCACTGGGTGCAATTACACACGCAGATAACCAATTAAACCTTTATGTGGCCATACATGCCAAGCACCTGTGGCTATTATTTTACACATTTTCTAGCATTGCCCATCCTGCAAATGTCCCAAGGCGTCTCTGATGTTCAGGCCTATCTCCAATACTTAGTTCCCTTGTACTTATTATCTAGTTACAGAGCACATCAACAGCTTGCAGAAAACAGTATCTTCAGGCATCTCTGTGACAAAAGGAAGCATTATTACTTCCATTTTACTGAAGGGTGACAGGCCCACTGACCCAGATCCTCACAGGTACTGAGTTACTGATGTTTAGATGCATAAATACTCGTGAGAATCTGGGCAAGAAAGACTAATGTTCCAGGTCTAAGGTCACAAAGAAAGTCTGTGAGAGACTAATATTGTACCACTGTCTCAGAACTGTGGTCCATACCACATTTTCCTCGGGGACGTTTTAAATCCATACGCCCTTCTACAAAATACAGTCCAACAGAAGTGAAGGCTCTCCATCAGTGGCCACATCTAATCTAATAAAAAGCTTGCTGAAGCAACTTCAGTGTTACTTGCATTTGCCTGCAGTTTTTTTGCTCTTATCTATGCAGTACGACAAGACACCTGACACAAAGCCAAAGATCTTTGATTGGGCATCAGCATACAGAATAGCACTTGCTTCTGGAAGATACCAGCAGCACATGAGCATTATAATGATAATAGCAAAGTAATAATTTCTTATGGAAAAAACAGTCATAGATTAGGTTCCTCCAAACTGTGTTTTCCTAAAATCACAGTACAAGTCTTACTAAAAGCGCCCGACCATATATGAAAGATCCCAGTCACGTTTCCAAAAACTGTTTCTTTACTAGCAAACCATGCAGTAAAAGTGATCATCTTTCATAAGCAATGCAGATGAGCAATTAAACTACAAGTAGATGTATCTCATAAGCTATAAAGCAAATATTTAATAATCAATTTATACTTAACACACAGCAGCTGCGTTGCTAGACATAACTTAACTAAGTGCACTTTGGACATAGTGTTTTAAAGCAATGAGGAATTCTTTCAGTCTCACATGAAAAATAAATTTAAATCCTAATCAAATCTGAGAACGCTTGCAGCCAGATTGTATTTCAATCAGAGAACAGAGGTTAATCTCTTTAAGCTTCAAGGAATATAACTCTAAGGGTTCCCAGCCATCAAATGTCCATGTTCAAACCCTCTCTTTCGTAAGCTCAGCAAAGCAGACACATGACTGAAGCTGTAAACACTCCCTACCTTTTAATGATCTGAGGTATTAAGTTCACATGAAGCAGTACTTTGCACCCATGTGGCAGATGCACCCAAGGTTACTTACTAACGTCATCTATGAAGCATGGTTAGCAGAAAAATGAATTTGGACTTTCTTGGTCTCTTACGGTAAACACTCTAAACACTTGACGTTAGGCATTTTTAGTAAGATCGCTAGTCCCTTTAGAATATCTTGGGCTATATGTATCCAAACTAATTTTAACTGAGTATAGAAGCAAAGATGCATCTCACCCCAAGTATACTTTTTAGGCACAACATGATTACATGTATTCTAAAAATGGGAATGTGTGAAGATGGAACCAAATCAAATTCTGAAGCCAAATATTTAGAGCATTTGAAACTTAAAATAACATCCATATATTTATAAATGCTTGAACTTCTGCAATGAACAGAACCAAAATTTCAGAAAATCTCAGAAATGGCATGCAAAGAAGGCATGTGAGGTCAAACGTTTGGCTAAGAAAGATTATTTGACCATGCCAAGATGTAAGAAAATACCTCTTTGCTGGAATCTACATCTCTCTTGAAAGTAATGTCATACGTTATTTCATGTTTGTTTTCAGTAGGGTGAGACCAAAGGCTGAGCAGATGTAGAAAATACTTTTGGCAATATTCTTCTTTGCCTTATAGCACGCCAAGTATATATGGTGTTGGTTTTCTGCTCGTTAGGATTACAGGTTTTTGGCTTATTTTCATAGGCAGCAATACACATGATGCAGAAAAATGTCTGAGCGCACTCACTTGCTTAAGACTGCTGCTTGGGATAACAATCTGTTTATATGCACAGTTCCAAACATTCAGCTCCCATAAGACAGTGTAATGCTCCAGTAATAAGACATTCATCTCCCTCTTCACCCCTTCACTGCTTGTCTGTATCACTTACGAGTACGGCCACTACTGTCAGCAGTCAGACTATAGCCTGGACGGACAGCCTACTGAGCTTTGTAAATTATTCGTTTCCTATCAGACACCTGACACGATAACAACACCAGGCTACTTACTTGCTTTCCAAGTTCTGACCCTTTGAGAAAATCATCAACCGAAGCCCCCCTCCTTTTGATATTAGGAGAATCATAGCCATCTTCCTCATCATCTGAGTTAACGTACTGGGCTGCATTACTCCTTTCGCTAAACACACTTCTTCTCTCCATCTAGAAAAGCAACAGAAAATGGGAAATTGTGAAGCAGACCTGTTCCTGCAACCACTGGGAGAAATGGCAAACATAAGACAAGGATTCCACATACCTTGCTTCCAGGACTCAAGAGCACAGCATTTAAATATATTCATGGGCTTAAAGTAACTTTTGTTTCTCTTGACTGCAACATCTTAGGTGCTTTGGGGAGTCTTTTGCTTATAGTATTATTTTCACTCGCAAGCAATTATATGCTTTTATGTGACCATCACTCAGTTGATAGCTTTCCTCCCCTGTACCACTATCACCTCAAAACATTGCTGAAGGCAGGGTGCTCCTACAGGACACAGTATTGGAATCCTTCCCTTAAAAGAAGCAGGCTGTTGAGGGTATTATTTAGTGTTTCAACTCTCTGATGTTGGAGAAAAGTGCCTTCTGCTTACGTCACCTCCCTGATAAATCGAGAACGCTGCGTTCCTTGACGTGTTATGATTATCACATGACAGCTAGTGCTTCTTTTCCATCAAGTCCTTTGCCTTAGCCTTTTCAGGGCTATACTGCCAGAGGCTGCCTAAGGAACACACTAATGATGAAATTTCCCTCTTGGCTGATGGTTACCAAAAGATCTAGACACTTCAGCATTTATGACCTCAAAACAAAGAAAAGTAATAAGACCTTATGCTCTTCCTCTGCTCAGAGATGAATCTTGTCATCAGCTACTGAATCCTGCTGCCTGTTCTAGTGCTTGGGCTTTATGGCTGATGCCATCTAATGGGCTGGGTGGACGGCTGTAAGACCACAAAGATGGCTTGCTCTGCAGCAACCTACTGCAAGGGGAGAGCTTCTGCTACTGGGTCTAAACGTGACAAATATCACTGGCAGAAGTTGGCTTAACCTAGATTGAAACTGGCCTTAAAATTTTTCCCAGATCCCCGAATGAATCAACCAACATCAAAACGAACGTAACTAAACACGGTTTGGGGCATATTTTATGTCAGCAGCTTTCAAACACAGAAAAAGTATTTCAGTTCAGTATTTCCTCAAAGAAGGAAGAAACATATGTATGTATGTATTTAGCAAATTGTATTGATGCAATGATTCCAGAATTACTCAGCTTCCCAAAAGCTGTATCATCCTCCACTGGCTTGGTTCTGCCCTAAAACAGGGGAAGTCAGTGAGTTGGGGCTGCTAAGGAAGTGTGAACTGTCAACGTGAGTGGAGTTATTCTGGAAATACAATGAGATATCAAAGACTGGACATTAACAACTGATACATACACTGATGCATACACATCAGCTATGCTTACCATTCTGACCCAGGAGCTTCAAATACGGGATTTTAGTTAACTAGCAAACATCTGAGTCACTGAAACAAGCCAAGGGTCACAATGCTCTCAAAAACAGGAGTCTCCTTCAGGCAGCGATGCTTCTAGTATCGACAAGAAGAGCTGTAATGAAAAGCTTTTTCTCACCTGGCTCTCCACATCTTGAAGAAGTTGTAACTGTGAGGGTGGAGCACTGAGAAACAGACCCTCTTGGAGGGCAGATCAATGGCAGCATACGAAATAGTGCTTTTTGTGTATGCAAACTGCTTATCTGCTATTTTGAAAAAACATCTGTAAAGGTTTTAGAATACAAACATGCTTCACACTAACTAGCTAGACTTACTGTGAGGGCTAATCTTTTTAGAACAGCTTAGGAAATGTGGGCAGAATCTCATTCCTATAAGGGACTCTAACCAACAGTCAGATAACAGGCATTGCTTTTCATAAGGAAATTAAGAAACGGGAAACTAAGTTTTGTGTTTCTCCTTCTCCCCTATGTGCATATGCTTCTCCCTTGTAGAGCATTCAGAAGCTGTAGTGACAAATGCAGAAACTACACAATTAAGAAGTGTTTTTAATATTGAACACAGCACGTAAAACAAAGAACCGGAACAACTGTTTTGTTTAAATATAAACCAATAATCCAAAACAAACCTAGTGCTATATTAACCTTGTGACTAGAATTTGAGGAATCTTTTACTTTACATAAAGTAAATAGTCCTATCAACAGCCAAGGCAGGTTAAGCACATCTGTCTGCATTCTTAGGACTTTCGTCTAGCTGCCTATTTCTGGTCCCATTTTTAAACTGTCCTCTCTATTGTTTTGGTCTCATTCAAAGTACTTCAGTGCTTGGTTGATTTTTCTCACGTGGACACAGGCTCCCTTTTGACTCCTATAGGATCCAAGCACAAAATTTGACAACCTATTGCCATTTTTTCAGAAGTAGTAAGGCTCTGCAGTTTTTGGAAGTAACCTTTCTGGTTATGTTATAGGGTTTCTGCAGTTGATCAAAGGTTGATAAATGCTCCATATGAAGCATATTTGGGGTAGGTGCTATAGAACTTTATCACATTACTTCTTACCAAACTACTGACCTTCAGGATTCAGGAATGTGTAACTGCTCATGAAGACATATACTCCAAAAAATTCATTGATGGGAACCGCCACAACGAATACAGTGAGCCAAAAAAGCCATAAGAAAATGTCTCCCCTTACCCTGTTGCTCTCTGCAACTCGCTGTGCAGCTTCTCTTGCCATGGCTTTTGCAACAGTATTTGGGACAGGCGTGCCTTGAGGCTGAGGGAGTATTCGGTTAGGTGATGGAGACCTCCTCCCCTGAAGCGGGCCATGAAAGTTAGGGGCAGGTGGCTCGAGTGTGTGTCCATGAACAGGGGATGCCGAACGAGTCTGCTCCCATGACTCATCCATTTTTAAATGGGGACCTAAATGTTCATCTTTGGTTTCTGGGACTCCGGCACTTGCTAATGGCTTAGATTTGGGAGCAGTTCTAGGGTGAGGGGTTGGAGGCACCAGTAGGTCAGATGGAATGGCAGCAACAGAAGAGTCCACAGATTCCCCTTGTGCAGAGAGTGTGCGAACGGTAACTTCCTTTGCTTCCAAGCTCCTTATTCTCATTAGCTCCACCAATGTGCTCTCTGCTGTAGGAAAGATCACCTCCGCCACCTAAGTACACAAACAAGCAACTTACTAGCATGAAGGCACCAGTTTCCCTGCCTCACCCTCACTAAAACACAGCCTTCAAAGTATTAATATGGAGTGAATTAATGCCAATACTGAGTGGGCTGGAGGAAGCCACATTAGGGCTCCACATCACTTAGCACCAGTTGTGTTTAATCCTTTCAGTCCCCTTGCCCAAAAACTGAAGTGCTTGCAGAAAGGGAGCTAATGATCAAATTACACAGGAACAAACAGAGGGGTTCTGTTGAAACCCAGAAAGCCAAGCACACGTTCAAATGCTGTCACACACTTATTGCTGCCTTTACCTGTCAATGGAAATTCACCTGATGTCGTTGGTCACTGTAACGCTGGAAAGAGAACTCACCCGTTGACCTTTCGCATAAACACCATAGCCGGTGACATTGGCACCATGGGAGGTCCCTGTTGCTGTCAGAGTTGGTGGTTTCCAGGACACCTGCACAGTTGCCGGGGTGGACCCAGCCCAGACAGTAACCTCTTGAGGTGGAGCTGGAGGACCTAAAAAAGAAAAGCCTGGTCACCATTCAGCATTAGATCACAAATATGTAGGCCCACTGACACAACTGTAAGCTGCAAACACACATCTCAAAGCACTTATTTATATATTTATTTTTAAGAAGACAAAATATCTTTATTGCAATCATAAGGCACAAACAGAAGCATACAAGCCCTCAACAGGTCATGGAGCCAAGAACTGACCCTCAGCCTAAAGCTGTTAACTAAGTTTTATTCATTTGCAAGCTGTTCTGTACTTGCAGCTTGCGGTGAACTTATTTTTATCCCTTCAGGCTGCATAACTGCTATTCACTCTAAATGCAGGAGACATTAACAGAAAAAGGTGGTGAGAAAAGTGCCAAGGAGTGGCACTATGTCAACGGAAAACTGCTGCAAGTGACTTTTTGGTGCATACCTCTGCGCCAGTATGCACAGTGCATAATTTTGATTCATCTGACAGCGTAAAAGGACTGGAAACTGGAACTTTAACCTTTTTTGTCACCAGTATATTGGTATGAAGGACAATCAGACTCAAAGTCTCTTCCCTGCACTGAAGAAAAAATTAAACCTACTAGCCTTTACAGTAGCATTTACAGTACATTAGCGTAACAGCAGACCAAGTACATCTTTAATTAACAGTCATTATTATCCCACTATAAATAGCTCCACTTTGGACAGAAAGCCAAAGTAAAAGTATCTTAGAGATTATTAGTTCATGCATATTAGAAGCATCCCATTGTGTTAACTTAACAGTCAAACACTTGAGAAGTGTATCACGCTAAAACATTTCAGAAGCAGGCGTCAGTTATGGCCATCTCTGGGTAATAGCTGGGAGAAGACAAATCTTGGCTGCTGTGAGTTTGTTTTTGCCAGTGAACTTAGCACAAACAATTTCTGTTCATCTACCGATACAGAAAAAGCTACAAGTATTACAGCTGTGTGCATTCATTGCTACTGGACAAAGTATGATACAACAGAAAACATCACACAAGTCCCAGCCTGGGGATCTTCTGGCATACTCTCAATGCATAGCTGTAGTTTGCTGTTATTGAATTGCATCCTGTAGAGGGCACTGAAACACAATTCTGATCACGTTCAGGACACTACAGGCAGAATATTACATTTTTGCCTATACCATCCCTTACACTTACAGCGTATTTTTGACTTGCAGGGCCGAAGCATGTAAACTGACCTAATACTAACTCTTGCATTTTAATTTAGGATTCAATTTCAGACCACCATCAAACTTATTTTATGAGAGCCAGGCGCCCCAATCCAGCAGAGCTCTTCAGCTTACAAGAAATAATGTATCTCATCTAGACCAGTATCTGGTGTATAAAAATTACATTCATCTGCTGCTTCAGCGAAAAAGGCAACCTCCTCTACCCCCTGCAAAATAAACAATTTCCTTGCAGTCCATCTCCACCTTCACAGGCCGCAACAGAGATCGGTTTAATAACTTTAATACGCAAGGCTTAGTATGGTTTCTACTCTTCATGTCATGAATTGTTCTACCTCTTGATTGTCTTTGTTATCACCATAAACACGTAGTTTGTTTTGGAATTCTGCTACAGTTTGGTCTTCATGAATCAATGGCTTAAATTAGCTCAAAAAACATTACACTCCCATTGGTCCTGATCCTATACGTACCTATGTTTATTTTTAGATCCGAGCACCTGAAAGAGAACTCCCTCTCCTGTTCAAACTTAAGCACTGATGATACTTTGATGAATCAACACAGAAGTTTAACCACCCATCAACTACAGAGCCATCACTCAGCTTTGGTCCAATAGGAAGCAGTGTGTTTTCAAGCATGAATCATGCAAAACATCATATACTTAAGCAAAGAGAAAAATGAAGAGGTGACCTCTAATTGTCCTGTACTTTTCATTCAACTGCTCCCTCCAGCTTTGAAAAGTGAGCAGTTATCTCAAGCTCCTTTTTGCCTAATGTATTCCTAAAAAAATCTGGGATTGCCACCATGTGAAAAATTTACAGCATTCACTGATCTCCCCTCCCCATTCCCTTTTTGGCATAAGCAGCTGATGGTATCCTTTCCTATGAGGCAATGACATCACTGAGCCCACCAGTAAAGAGCAGAGCTTCTCACCATCAAAGAAAGTGAGCACATGTACTCATTCGTAAGCACTTCTGAAGCCCTTAGAAAAATGTCAGTACAAACTCTGAAAACTGCCTGTGGCCGTTTATGTTGCACTTCATGCTGCACTAGTTACCAAAACTGACATTCACCACAACTAAATGCTTACGTGACACCGCTCCCCTGCATGCATCTTCCTAAAGAAGCAAAATAATGTAAGATAGCCTTCACACAGAACATTGCTTTCTGAGCATCTTCTACAATCATTTTTGAAATGTGTCCTTTACAATGTAGATTAACTGAAGAGGGAAGGTCACTATACGTAAAAGATTAGCCATATTAAAGACACTTTTTCTTTCTCTGAACTGTAGTTTGGAAGAAGAGGTATGCGATCACGCAGAGACAGTAATATTGGCAAGAGAAAAACATGAGACACTTATAATGATAACTCCTATTGCTGACTTAGACTTCATGGGCATATTTTTCCCTGTGTTTCGAAGACATTTGACAGAAAAGCATCGACCTCTAATCTCTTCAACAATTGCTATTTTCCTTTGCTATAAAACACAGGGAGGAGGTGATGTGCTTTTGTAAAAATGCCCACTGGGAAATGAAAGGGTGGGGAAGATTCTGGGACCTCTGAATTCAAAAGCAGAGGCTTTGTAGCATATTGGCTCCTCAACAGAGGATGGCTCCTTCATTGCTTTAACATATTTCAGCAACTAGCAGGAGATGCAGTGTGTTACGTCTGGCCTGAAAACCTTACTCTTCCCAAACAACAAAGAAGTAAGATATCTAATAAATTCAAGTCACCACTTAGGCAGCATCATCTGACTCCCACAGAACATATACAGAGATTTAAAATGCTCCAGTCTTAGCAGATGCTACAGTAGCTTTACTG